AACATAGATGCCTACCTCGTGTTGACAAACTGGATCAAGCTACCGAGCAATAGAAAATATTGTGCAGTGCCTGGTTGTGGAAGAAGACAGTCGCTGCATATGCTTTCTCTGGATTCCAATAGGACTGCATGGATAAACTTTATTTTTAATGATGTTCCAGCAGATGAGGTAAAACATTGTCGTCTGTTCGCTTCATTTCTCTGAGGATTTTTTGTAAACAAGACTGGATTTGCAGACCAATTAAGATTAAAGAACGGTGCCATGCCATTTATATTGGATCTGACAGGAATGGTGCAACACACGGACTCTGGGTCGAATTATTCCGGTTGCCATTTTACAAAATTGGACATTTTCAGAACACCGACGGGTTACTTGAAACTCATTATAATATGCAAAACTGTTATCCACTCACAGCAGGGGCGTTTATTTCCAAGTCTTCAGTGCGAGACGCCCATAAAAACCGTGCGTTTTTCAGATACGCTCAAAATTAGAGTACAAAATAGCCTATTACTTATTCATTTTGATGTTTTTGAATGCAAAAACCAAGCGAACGTCATATGTTGACCTCAGACAACAATATAATAAAATTTAAAAAGCCAGTTCATGACCCCTTTAAAAAAAATAAAGTGCACTGAAGTTTCAAAGAGAAAATACTCAGAAATGGGGTTGACTTATGGATTTACACATGATTGGTCTTAAAGCATGTTAAAAACACCACATAGACATAAATAGTAGTGGCGAGCAGGGCGAGGCTGAGGTCCATGAGAGAATGGTGCGAGGCCGGTGGTGTGATGGCGGATGAGCAACACCTGCACGTCGCACCGGTCTCGTATCTCTCATGGAGGAGTGACGATTGTGATGGATGAGAGAAGACATGGAGTGTTTTATTTGATTTTTTGTTTTATTATGTTTGGCGGAAGTCGCCCGTGAGGGACTTCTGTCTGTCTTTGTGTTTATTTATGAAAGTTTTTGAATGTTCGCCAGTATATTGATAGATATAGATATTGCTGGCAGTGCATACTGGCATTCTTCGTCAAACTGTTTTCTTCTTTTTAATGTGAAGCCTATTAAACTTAATTTGTGTATACATTCAATTGATCAAAAGTGTCAGTCAAGATATGTATGTTACAGAAGATTTGCTTTTTGCGGTTTCACAAAAATACTAAGCAGCTTGTACTAAAATACTAAGTGGGCTGACCCCAGCGGAAAGGGGATGAAATAGATGCTAAAACACTCTATCCTGGTCGTTTTCAATACTCACAATCCCAATTCCTGATTCCCTACAGTGGTTTTGAAGACACAAGATGGTTTTTATACTGCCAAGGGCGTAGCACGCTTGATGAGCTGAAACCTGCGTACGTCACGAAGTGTGGAACATCCAATAGGAAAATTCAACTGTATATTGTATAAATAGAACACTTTATAAACAAATGTCAAAAAAAGTTACTCGAATCAATGACTGGTATTAATAAAGATCTATTCTTACAGATCATTACCGGTAACTAAAAAAAGTTTGTTTAGTGTTTAGTTACTCTAACTAATAACGATGTCTTTCTCCAAATTACGTTCTATGTTGTTTAAAACAATGCATTATTAACTGTTTATAATGTAGTCAAGCCAAACGCTAATCATATCAATGACATGTTTTTTGTTAACATTAATTACTTGTATACAAGTAAAGGGTTAGTTCACCCAAAAATGAAAATTAAGTCATTAATTACTCACCCCCATGCTGTACCAACCCCGTAAGACCTTCATTCGTCTTCGGAACACAAATGAAGATATTTTTGATTAAATTTAGATATAGATATTGCTGGCAGTGCATACTGGCATTCTTCGTCAAACTGTTTTCTTCTTTTTAATGTGAAGCCTATTAAACTTAATTTGTGCAACGAGCATGAATGATATCTCAATTGTGCGACTTGAGTAGAGTTGTGTGTTACTTATCCTAAGTGATGGATATATTTGCATTGAAATAGGGTCCCAAACCATAGAAGCCCCAGAATATCCCAGAATGCGAAGTTCAACTTGTGTAAGCCACTTTTTCCCTTGTTAAAGACCAGAGAACAATATTTATTTTAACTGTTCTAGGAACATTGCAACCGATCCTGATGAAATGCGCTCACCCAAATGGGTGGGTAAAATGTAGTTTGATAATCGTTCTGAAGCTCCCTGTGATTCACGTTGCATAGTAAATCAGGCAGACAGGTGCTTTTTGTTGTAGGAGGTTGAGATGGAAGGAGCCATCAAGTCTTGGATAAACACGGAAGATTATGGCAGCGATCTCTTTGGCTCCGGCCCTCCGGTAATCCGTTTTTCTGATGTGACAATCAAATGTATCTCTCTTCCTCCAGTCGAGTAAGCTGGCTTAATGGGCAGAGGAACCTTCTCGTCTAAACATCTTCTTAATGCAGCCTGTGCACGTAGGACTCTGTAGGTTTATTTCTGTTTCTCTGCCCTAAAGAGATTACAGCAATGATTGACAGGCCGGGGTTTCACTAATGAGGATGCGCTCTCGAACGTTAAACTTCTAGCGGTGCTAGAGTTACTAGATAAATTGTTGTTAAATCAGGCTTGTTTTATTCTATAGATCTTTGTTATTCTGTGGGTGTTCTTTAGAAACCCACAAAGATGATCTGCTTAAACCAGGAGACAGATTTATGACACCTAAAGAGGCCCCAGGAAGTATTTGGACACTTAAAAGACACTTTTTTTTTTTATGTGTTGACTCGTACTTTGAATACAGCTAGTATACATTCAATTGATCAAAAGTGTCAGTCAAGATATGTATGTTACAGAAGATTTGCTTTTTGCGGTTTCACAAAAATACTAAGCAGCTTGTACTAAAATACTAAGTGGGCTGACCCCAGCGGAAAGGGGATGAAATAGATGCTAAAACACTCTATCCTGGTTGTTTTCAATACTCACAATCCCAATTCCTGATTCCCTACAGTGGTTTTGAAGACACAAGATGGTTTTTATACTGCCAAGGGCGTAGCACGCTTGGTGAGCTGAAACCTGCGTACGTCACGAAGTGTGGAACATCCAATAGGAAAATTCAACTGTATATTGTATAAATAGAACACTTTATAAACAAATGTCAAAAAAAGTTACTCGAATCAATGACTGGTATTAATAAAGATCTATTCTTACAGATCATTACCGGTAACTAAAAAAAGTTTGTTTAGTGTTTAGTTACTCTAACTAATAACGATGTCTTTCTCCAAATGACGTTCTATGTTGTTTAAAACAATGCATTATTAACTGTTTATAATGTAGTCAAGCCAAACGCTAATCATATCAATGACATGTTTTTTGTTAACATTAATTACTTGTATACAAGTAAAGGGTTAGTTCACCCAAAAATGAAAATTAAGTCATTAATTACTCACCCCCATGCTGTACCAACCCCGTAAGACCTTCATTCGTCTTCGGAACACAAATGAAGATATTTTTGATTAAATTTGAGAGGTGGATCACTGCTACATAGGCTGCCTAAGGGATTGAAACTTGACGGCTCAGAAAGTCATTGAAGAAAATGTTTAAATATTCCATGTGACTACCGTGGCTCAACTATAAGTTTATCAAGTGACGAGAATACTTTTTGCGAAAAAACAAACAAAAATAACGACTTTATTCGGCTATTCCTTTTCTTCCTTGTAGGCCTGAGACGAGAGTTCAAGAGATTTCCACGACGCATGCGCGAGAACTGAACTGAAGTAGTTGAAGGAGATCGCAATTCTTGCACATGCGTCGTGGAAATCTCTCGTCGTGGAAGTTTCAATCCCTTAGGCAGCCTATGTAGCAGTGATCCACCTCTCAAATTTAATCAAAAATATCTTCATTTGTGTTCCGAAGACGAATGAAGGTCTTACGGGGTTGGTACAGCATGGGGGTGAGTAATTAATGACTTAATTTTGATTTTTGGGTGAACTAACCCTTTAAAAGCCTTTGAAATTTCAATCAAAGATGTTCTAATTGTTGTCCGATATTCCAGCTGTGAATTTCTCTTTGTGAGTGTGATCTTTATAAAAGGATTGTCTAATAATCTCAAGTAATTGGGAACCCTATTGAATTTCATAGGTCAACATGCATTGGAACATCGATCATAATATACATCATTTGTGATAAAATATCAATAAGTCAGCCTATGTCTTGTCCTGTTTAGATTTGTCAGAGCCGACAGCAGGTTCATTTGATCCAACACAGGAATTATGTTTTTCTAGTGCTCGTGTAGCAATTATGGGTTTGCTCTTTTGGCATGATGAAGCGTTGAGTTATGAATGCAGGATGGAGTTCATTGAGACCGAGAGCAATAGAGAGAGAGAGGGAGAGAGAGTGATTTACTGCGGCAGGGCAGACAGCAATTCTCTCTGGCATTTGGATCTACTCTGAGAACCTGTGAGTCATCAAAGTGTCAGGTCACGTTTTTGATGGAATCTCTGGCACATTGGGAATAAAAAACAATGTGCTTGGAGAGCCTCTTCTTTGTATCACCAATGTCCCATGGTACCATTTCAAGTCCTGTCATAAGAATCATGTTTCAACTCACTGTGTAGAACAAGATATTTGTTGGTCATGTTTTTATCCTTTGAGATTCACATCCAGCATCTTGTAGGGCTATCAATTTAACACGTGGATTTAGTAAATATAAAATATATATAAAATATAATATATATATATATATATATATATAATGCAATTAATCATATCACCTGACTCCTAATAATTAATGTTTGGTAATTGGAAATAAAACAATTTATCAACATTTGAAGCCAGTTTTATGTTTATTTTTAATCGTGAGCATTTGCTGAGAAAATATGCATTTTTTTATATATTTATATCCTATTGTGATTAATGAATCAGCAGTAATGTATAATAAACTGACAGCCCTATAGCATCTTGTGTCTTCTGAAGAATTAGATCTAATATATTGATGTGATTGAATGTATGCCAGTGTATTTTATATTTTTCTGACTATGTTTTTTTTGTAAATCCAGGAATGGGCGGCGAACAATGAGACAAGACAGCAGATTGAAGCCACCGTTTTGTACGGCTACTACAGTAAGTACTACATGACACTGGTCTGGTGCAGTAAATTACATTTTTTCTTACCTTGCGTTTTAGTTCGTATTCCTTCATCACCCGCTGCCCTCATTGTTCAGGTTTCATCGTGGAAGCCGGCACAGTGCAGTCTGCAGCTCGTTGTTAATGTCCATTTACTTGGGTTATAAATTACGGGATGCTCGTGATCTGACATCAGCCTACAAAAGCTGGCAGTTAAGTCGCTGGACGGTTTTATTTGTGCGGAACCGTCTTGGTCAAATCAAGCTAAAGTGAGTGCAGTTTTCGGCTGAATAAATCTCTTGTCTGCGAAGGGTAAAAACCGCATTAGTCAGTGACCTTTTCTGTGAACAAGGTCGGAAGGGCTCAAGAACGTGGTAAAACGCATCTTTTTTTGGAACCGCATCCTTTCTTTATGACTTCATAGCATTAAATATATCTCAGTGACATGCATGCACACTTTAATTGAGTCCTCCATTGCTTCCACTTTAAATAATATCTTTTAGGAATGCTGGAAGCTGGGACAAGGTAACATAAAATTGAGTTATGGCACAGTAGCTTGATTATCATTTGAATTTGCATTTTGCAAACAGATGCTGCGCAGAACAGGCCGTCAGTAGTAGAGCGGCACGGCGTCTGTTGAGCAGTGCCAAATGCACTAGAGACAAGCTGTCAGCCAATACAAATCAGCCAATCAAAAACCATCACTTCCATCGTCAGAAAAGCATCAGAAGATTAACGATGACAGTGCAGGTAGACACGCCGCAAACCCCCTGTCCAGCTGTCGGCCTGTGTTCTCCAAGAACCAAACAAGAAATCTCAATATCGATTAGATGTACTTTGACAACAAAACGTCTGTTTGCTGGAGAACTTTGAAGTGATTTGGATCAGAACATAATGGAGCTCTAAATTAGCATTACACTCACATATTTCTGAGTGAATATATTCAGTGTGAAACATCAATTGAGATTTGATTGGATCATGACAAGTACAGTATTATATTATTAACGGTACACTTACATACATCTACATTGCTATTGCTCATGATTATGGTTAGGGGTTTGATACTTTTGACTTTTGACCAATACGCAATCATAACCACCCAGAACACCCTATCAAAGTGTTAAGAACATAAACTGCATTGTAAACCCCTGGCAAGTTTAGCTCACATAACATTTTTATAAAATTCTAAAATCTGGTTAGTCCTGTAATTTTTACTCATGTCGTTCCAAACCTATGACTTTATTTCTTGTGCGGAACACAAAAGTTTCTGTTTTTTTTTCATATAAAAAAAGCCTGTGAAATTGTTTTTATTCCCATTGATTTTCGTTTAATGCACAAAAACTGTTGAAACATTCTTCAAAATATGACGTTTTGTCTCTATCTGCACAGCCTTGGTATTGTCAGCAGAACAGAAAAGTTATTCCAGAATCAAAACAAGTTATCGCATTTTGAAGAAAGTCATTAGGATTATGAAAACAACCATTTTTTTATTTTCTCTTTAGAAAAATCGACTGATGAATTGTGCACAATGAGACCAAGGGCTTGGATCCTTGGACTAAAACCTCTTTAGATTAGCAGCTTAAAATAGTCTGATCTCAAACAGTGGAGCCAAAACATTATGCAAAAATCTTTTTCTTTTCTAGTTTTTACCTTATTTTTTTTGCTGTAATTTATTGATTGAAAAACAGACTTCAGAGGTTAAAGGGGTGGTTTACTGTTTTTTTTTATTTTCTTTGCATGATTGTGTTTATGGGGTGCAATCTAACATGTATTTGTGGTTTTTCTTTTTAAAAAGTCTTATTTTTCATAAATTTCACCTTTATTGTAAGCCACGCTCTCCTCTGTCCCCTGAACGACTGGTTGACTTCCTGAGTCTATGAAACCACTCCCTCAGAAACAGGCAGTGGGCTCAGATTGGTTAGTTTGGGCCGGTGTGTTGTGATTGGCTAAACTCTAGTGCATGTTGTCCGGATACTTCACGCCCATTACCTTTACGGGCGAAACGTGCATGTGTGTTCCTGTCAAATGTAAATAATGGTGTCGATACTGCAGTATCAGTATGAGGCAGAATCAGACCCAGAAAGCGGCGATGAAGAGAGTCAAGCAGAACCTCACCATACATGACTCTTACAAAACGTTTCTGAATGATAATTTGCCTATATTTTTTTTTCAATTTATACACGTTTGTCACGTTTGTCTATATACAAAATAGCATTGAACTAGCTGGCTACTATATACACAAACAGCGTTGGCATTGGTTTACGTTCTTGATCAAATCGAAAAATAACACCATAAAGTAAATATACATGAAAAATACATTTACAACATTAGTACATGTACAAAATTCAGGTCCATAATGTTTGTATGCGTTTATCGTGGACTCAAAATAGCATAACTAGTAGCCTAGTGGCTATAAAGCCAGCACTGGGTTTTGATAAAACTAAAACATTACGTCTGAAATTATACATTCAAATACTAAAATGATTAAGTCTTAACCTACTTACAGGTTGTGGTCCAACAACTGCTGCCTCTGGTTTTAAAGTTGGAACTGCTTCATGTTTCAGTAACAGTTTCTTGTTGAATCCGGCATTGAATTCGTGGAGATTCTGGAAGCTGTCTTCCGTAAAATGCGCAGCACAGAGAGCTAAAATACGATCATCATTTTTCAGGAACATAATCAAACATATATTGTATCCATTGTTGACAAACTACAACGTCCGTGGGAAGCTCGAACACAGAAGACCTGACAGCTGCGTCAACATAACGCACTCGACGAGCCCCAGAAATATGATCATGCCCTTTTTTGCATTTTCCAGAGGGAGGGTTGATGCAAATGTATGGGTTAGTGACGCCTAAAACCCGTTGTAGTCCCATTCGAGTCGTTTCTGTAGGCATTAAACTTCCTGATTTTTAAAAGACGATATCTCTGCTTACACTGAACTTTCAGCGCTGCAACTTTACAGATACTGTTCATGCACCAACAGCAACATTATATAGTTATATGTCTAGTTTATGAAGAAAGCAACATAAACTGCGTTTTATTAAGACAAATTCCACAGAACACTCATTCATACTGTCCTTTTAAATCCACAACTCTGTGTTGTTTAACACTATTCTTCTGATGTCCTCCCCGTGCTTTGTTTCCCATGATGCAACTCTTTTCCCTTTGCCGTGGCATCTACAAAGGGTTTGATTGCTTCATTTCTGGGTTTTCTGAAAGACCAGGGGTTGTACCATGCTGACTATCCTCAAAGAGACGAGAGAATGTTTTATTTGTACTTCTGAAAAAAAAAAAGAAATTCGAAAAGAAAAGGAAACCCCACTGTTCAAGTGATTCTGGTGTGCTGTGTGGTCCTCTGCGCAGGCATCGTGCGTGGAGGTGGAATAGATGAAAAAAACGAGAGACTGGTGACTTCGAGTTTGCGGAGAGATGGCTGTCTGATGGCGTGTGTGATTATGACTAACACAGCCTCAGCTGCAGAACGATCTGTTCACTAGAAAGATGGTTATAGGGGGCAAATATGGCTTTGAAGACCTGTGTGTGTGTGCTAGGGGTTTGAGTAGATGTGATCGCTGTATTGTGTGTGCTGTGTTACATCTGAGTCATTTAAAAGACAGGTGTCGGGAAACGGAAACTTTTACAGTAAATCTCTATAAGAAAGACTTATTACAGACAAATAATATATTTAAGTTAACCTAAATTACTTTGTGCCATCTCAAGATACATTAATATAAATCAATATCTTATTATAGATATTCTAAACGCTTGACGGGAACTTGGCAAGTTGCAACGTTGCTTTTAAGCTTATGACCTACTATCATCAGCCATTTATTCATTTAGCAGATAGTTGCATATTTATATGTTCATGCAGCAGCAGATAGAATAAAAAGAGTGTGTATGCATGTGTGTGTATATATATATATATATATATATGTGTATGTGTGTATATATATATATATATATATATATACACAATATATGTAATATTTAAAATATATTTAATATAAATTATACACACAATTATACACAACATTATTTATATATATATATATATATATATATATATTAGGGCTGTGCAAAAATGAATTGCTATTAATCGCATCCAAAATAAAAGTCTGTGTTTACATAATATATTTGTGTGTGCTGTATATAATTATTTTGTATATATAAATTACACACACATGCATGTATATATTTAAGAAAATGTGTTATTCATATATGAAATATTTATATAATATGGATTATGTATTTATAAATATATACAGAATTTAAGCGCAATAATTCTTATTAATATATACAAAATAATTATATACAGCACACACAAATATATTATGTAAACACAGACTTTTATTTTGGATGCGATTAATCGCAATTAACTTTTGCACAGCCCTAATATATATATATATATATATATATATATATATATATATATACTGTATATATTATGTGTATATATATATATTATGTGTATGTAATGATATTTTATATACGTTTCAAACCTATTATTTGATATTAGTGCAATATAAGTGGTCCAAAATTAATTGCAAAACCATTCAATGTATTGTCCTTTTAAAATACAAATAAAAACTATACCACCTATACCAACTATACATATTTTCAAAAAAATTTGTTTGTAATACATATTCATTTAATAAATTTAAAGTTTCAAAATGCTAAGTAGCAGATGTTTGAGTTTGTGATTTCGTTTGTGCACAGATGTGGACACGAATGGTATATTTCCTGCATGGAATAACTCGTGTGCAGTTTTCTGTATTTTCACATTCTACATGCTACAGTCATTGAGAGTGCAGGGCTTTATTCAGCAGAGATTTGCTGTTTGCTTTTGTACTCCTGATGACAAATGTTTGTCTTTCTTTTCGTTTGCTCTCGAGCTCATCCCGTTGTCCTCTCGGGGATGGACTCGGAGAAGAACAACTGTCTCATCCAGAGAAACGCAAGCCAAGCAGGAGGAGGAATAAAACCAAATTTAAATCTT